CAAGATTTTCAGGTTGTTTAGGCTGAACTTGGTATAATCGAAGTGTGCTGTGAGGGCGAGGCCAAGGTCGGCGTCCCACTCATATATGTTGGATCCATCTGGTTCAAGGATGGTCCATGGTTCAGTAGCATACTTGCGAGATTTCGATATAGATAGCATCGTGGAAAGTTACTAGTAAGTTACTGTCTGGTAAGATTGCCCATAACCTATAGGAACTTGTCAATTATTAGAATTACAACGATTGATTATTTATTTAGAGAAACTAGTAAATATATAATAAAATAAAATAGAACAAACTCTATCATACACATTTACTAAATACTGCCCGAACTTAGTGATGAAATGAGCAGAGTAAAGTATAGTTTAGAGATATGGGAAAATCTAGAGTAGGGTTCATAGTAGTGGGAGTAGAAGAGTAGAACGAGAAGGAGTTGAGGTCTAAAATTTCAGCCTTCTTCATATGTAGCCTCGTGTAATTAGACACCTTCGTGTTCAATTTGATTTTTCAGAAGTAAATATTCATAGCCTACTAAATAAAACAAATATTTATGTTTGTTTTTAACAAAATTAAATAAAACAAAACAAAAAGCTTCTTGTGTCTAAAAATCGAACATTCAGAATTCATAGCCTTCTAAATTATACACAGAATTCTGTGAAAATTATTTGTAAATACAATATATTTATATATATCATATCCTCCTGATAGAACAATATTAATATATATATTTCGTGATGTAGTATGTGTATAAAAAGCAACCAAACAATCTCTAGAGCAGTAGCAAAAAGAGTCACAATAGCCCATAACACCCAAAAGGTGCGGTATATGCCTCGATTCGAATCAACGTGCGTGCACAAGTGTGGTACAAATCTCTATTCACGAAGAATATCATGAAGATTCGTCCTTATACCAAGCCGTGAGAAGGGATAGTTTGTCCAGCTTGACCTCGGAGGTAATGCAAATAAGCTCCCACGGTTGTCCATCGTTCAAAAAAAACGACAACTTTGATCTCCGATAGTAGACTGGAGGTAAAGCAATATAACATTGTGAAAATTTTGGACAAAGTTGTTGATGCGCGAGCTAAACTCGCATGGTCTTGTACTGAACATTTAGAAGTCACAAATCCAAGCCAGTTGACACAACACACAGCAAGAAAAAAGAAATCGAAACCCTTGCTAAATATTTTATTTGGAGTTTAGAAGACCCATTATGGTCTGCACGGGGAAACACTATTTGACTTGACGGGAGACGAACTAGGCGAATCGCGCTATCCGAAACAACCCTGTGCCAGTCCTACCGAATGCCACCAGCGTAGCAAATCATCTAAAAATGAGATGTGCACAATGTGAAGGCTAGAAAATGATCCCGTTCACCGTGAAACGGGTTCTCGCTCTAAAGCCGATCACGTTCACTGTACCAAACATTTGGATGTGAAATAGACGGCCTGTAAAACCATGATCAGTTGTAATCGAAAGCAACTAATTTCAAAAGTGACGGAAAACTCGATATTCTCGGAGAATGCGCTGAGTGTGTACTAGGAGCGAATTCATGAACGCGCATAGAATGTCAGTAATCAGCTCGTTATGCGAGGAAGACAATTCGTCCCTGTGGGTAAAACACTTAATCTCCCATAATCGTTCGCGATAAAATTAGGAGAATTAATATTCGATATACTAGAAGCTAATATATAAAACAATATGTAGATGGATTAGAGAAAACAATTCTACAAATAAACGCTCTCTCACGTATCCCACCTCTTTTCGCAAGGAAGCAGCCTATTATGCGATCAATCATGGTTATTCGCGTACCGAGGGCACGGAAATTGAGCTTGAGGGAAGGTGTGCTTTTAGCTTTAATATTTAATACTCAGCTCCGTCGTTGTCCAGAATTTCAGAGGACAGCAATTTGTCCCAATTCACCGAATAGTGTTGTGAATTCAGTATTCATAGCCTCTCATGGTATTCAGCATTCACAGCCTCTCGTGGTATTTATTTGACTGCATTTGGCTGCATTGATAGAGGTTTTTTGTGATTGGAAGGCTGTTTTTTTTTTTGAAACCTTTTGTGTGCAATATTTGTTTCGTACACGAAAGTATCAAAATCGATACCTCTATATATGCATTTTTTTTTTAAAAAACCTGCCGCGATCTGTGTATCCGTGTTCCATATTAAAATCCATATATACAGCAATATAGCATACATACCAATGTAAGCATAGGGACACCTGGACAGATCTTTAGTAGACCTCAAACAAAGCTAAATACAAAAACAGATGGATAATCAAGCGTCCCTTGTTGGTCATTCAGATGGTACAAAAGAAGACATTCACACGGTTTGTTAGGCTATCTGGGTCTCTCATGTTGAACTGGTCTCATTAATAATTGTTTGTAGGTATTAGAGACCTTTTGTTCGACATCATGGATGAAGATTTTTGTAACTACGGCACGCCACTAGAACGTACACCTGCAGATCCTTTCGAACGGCAGGGTCGGAAGTTTACCCGCCCACAAGACCTCGCGGTATGACTGATTGGATTGCGTAGTGCTGATCTAATTCACTCTTGATAGGCTCAAGCGAGTAATCATATGAACACAAGCATTCTAAATATCAACATTAATCTGAAAAAGGAAACAATCAGGGGTAGATACAGCAGTAAATGACACGTATATATAACTCCAAATAAAGACACGTTGTCAATTCTGCAACTAGTTCTAGATATGAATACGTACTATCCTGAGGATCTTGACGTATCTCAAGAGCTGGGTGTGAATATTAGTATGTTTTTCTAGTACGGGTTAGGTGTATTTTACAGCGTGCGAATAACTTGTACGCTTGTCACATGTATTATTTAACACGCTCCAATGTACACGCCAATACATGCTCTCTCTCACACACACACAAACGCACACACACACACACACAACGCACACACACACACACACACA